CAGCGCGTACGTGGTGGAGTCCTTCGACGTCACTGCCCTGTATACGAACGTGTCGAATGACTCCGCTATGCAAGCCATAAACAAGCTCCTTATACAACACGAAGGAGCAATAAACATGTACGGCTTCTCGATTCAGCAGTTGATGGCACTCTTAAAGGAGTGCCTGAACTGCTCAATCTTCAGATGGTCCGGGAGGTATTACGCACAAATGAGAGGGCTGGCAATGGGACAACGACTGGCTCCAAGCCTTGCCATTGCATTCATGTCTAAGGTGGAAGCACCAGTAATCGACCTCGGTCCGTTACTCTACTGTAGATATATAGATGACTGCTTGGTCATTTGTTCAACGCAAGAAGAAATCGATAGCGGTTTCGAGTTGTTGAACACACAGTCAGAGTATATTAAATTCACGCGAGAGAAACCAAAAAAAGACTGGCTTCCATTTCTGAACGTGCAAATTAGCCTATCAGAAAACGGTTACATTACGAAGTGGTATCGAAAGCCAAGTAGTAAAAACATCCTAGTTCATTACCTCTCCTCTCATCCCTCTCACACGAAAAGGGCGCTTGTAAGAAACATGTATCGAACAGCTACCAGCGTGTGCACAGGAAGACAACAGAGAGAGTCCCGGAACTTGGCGCGGCAAATAGCCATTTTTAATGGCTACGAAATCGTAGCTCCAGGTGTAGAGGAAACCACAGGTACCCCAACGATAACTCTAGCGACAACAAGGTCCCGTTTATACTGCCCTTTATTTCAAATGAAGTAAGTGCAGCTATAAAACGCTGTTTAAGAAGGGCCAGTCTAGAGAATTCGGTAACGATAATCGAAATACCACCGAATAATCTAAGGCGCCAGCTAGTTCGTAACCGCCTATATGACCGTCTATGTGCAACGCAAAATTGCATAATTTGTCCCAATGGTAGAGAAGGTGACTGCGTGAGTTCCGGTACAGTCTATCTGATCTCTTGTAAAGCGTGCGGAGACGAATACGTTGGCGAAACGGATAGACCACTCTGCGTACGTATAAAGGAACACCTAGCCGGCAAACGTAAGCTAAGTACTCCACTAGGTACGCATAGCACGCAGAAACATAACGGAGAAGAATTTGAAGTAAGGGTTACGATCCTCGCGCAAGAATCGAGAACACAAGCGCGCAAAACTCTAGAGGCATTCTGGATTAATTCCAAGAATCCGAAAATGAACTGCAGGGAGGAATGTCTCGTTATCACGCGTGATATTGGACAGTATATAAACCTGTTATTCTGATGGGAGGGCACATTACGCTTCCATGTGAATTCTGTGCGGTCGGTCTTGACGCGACATACTCAGTGGAAGGCTCATAGAAAGCGGTGAGTGTGCAGAGCTATGCTAAATGTGATTGAAATCTTGGTTTAGAGTTTTCTCTGTTTGGTTATGGAGGTGTTTGGCCGAGTGGATTGCTGTCAACTTGACCCTTCCAGGCTCTGAGGAAGGCGAAAACCGCCGAAACGTCAGCTTGTGCGTAAATAAAGAAATAAAATAGCACCTTGTGCTTGCTGAACCGAAGTAGAAAGATATACTTATTAGAAATACTTCGAAACCGACTTTCCTTGAACCTCGGTATCACTAATCAATATGTATTCTTTCTTTTCCTTTGTATTTCTTATCATCTTTGAAGAATGCCATAGATGCGCTCAGTTGAGCAATCCCCTTGCAACTCCTCCGTTCATGTGATGGCAATTAGCAATTTCTGTTATCTTCTTATCTCGATTTATCTCGATTTTGGAAGACAGTCTGCTCACAGGTTTTCGCACAACAATGCAGATTTTTCGAAGAACAAAAGCAGGTGTGCCATCATTTTTTTCTGATCATAATTATACTGAATTATGGTATTGATATTGTTGAGTAGGCTCCGAAATTTCTGCAAAAGAAACTGTTTCCCATGAACAGTTGTAGAAAATTTTTATTTACTGCCTACCTTTTTTAATATAAAATATAACCGTATTTTTCTGAGATATTTGGAAAACTCCGGACCACTGGTGTATACGGTGGGGATCGAACACGCTGCTACTTTTCCGAGAGCTAGCGCGTTCACCACCATACCATGCGGGTCCTTAATTTCGCTTTTCTCTCAGCCAGTTGGGGAACAGTTGGAAAGTCACCTACCAACTTGGTGCTTTTGCTCAATGACCAGATCCCTCTGCAGTTGTTCTCTGAGGTTTTGAAATTTCCGATCCTGTGTTTCTAATGTGTCGCTGATTTCTCGCCATTTCGCCTGTCGCTTCCCCTCCTCGTCCGCGTTCGTTCTACTACAATCCATGATCAATCAATTCGCAGAATAATGACAACATAACCTCATTTTTTCCCAAATAGAAATGATAAACAACAAGTTTTCTTCCAAGTGCTTTACTTTTCTTGTCATGGTACAGCTTCATTCAGTACATTCCAAACACTTCTACATGAGCCTAATTAAAGTGGTGTCAACAGAAGTTTCTAAAGAGCACGGGATTTTTGAAAAATAGACACAACAAGAACTTCGCAGAATAATGACAACATAACCTCATTTTGGGGAACAGTTGGAAAGTCATGATACGAGTACCCGAAAACTATCGTTCTCGTTTTCGCGCTATTTGCTGTTATATTTGCTACAAATTAGTTCGATAACATACTGTAATAAGAACGAATTTCAGAATACAGCCTTTTGAAAGTATTTTTTTTACCCACAGAGTAAATCACTGGAAGAGAACTACATTCAAAATAGTATGTAGTGGTACGTAGGAAGTTCGCATACCTAAACGCTGGAGGTCTTCCACACGGCGAATTTCCATCGGAAAGCCGGACCTGCTTCGTGAGACCGACGGCGTTTCTTGGTTGGCCAGTGATCATCTGGGATTTGCGACTGAGAATCTCCGCTAAGCTTAGGTCGGATTTCTGCTTCGGAGATGGGGTTGCCCGACAATCGCTCGCGTTTCGACCGGCAGTCGCCGAGAAGCGATTCACTTGAACGCTGCTCACATTGACTCTAGTCGGAACCTCTGTTTTCAACGGACTTGTAGATCGTTGTGAATAGGGTGGTGAGGACTGCAAGCGATAGGTAGACGAATAGTCAGAGAACGACGACTGACTTGGAGGAGTTGGAGATTTTTGACTGGATGCAGAGGAATAGTCTGAGTACTTGCGCTCATGGTTTGTTGTGACTGTCAGCTCACCAAGTGGCGATGGAAGGGAGTTCGCAGTGGAGTCACTTCGCTAAAATTTAGGACGATTAGATGATGAGGATGATTTGAACTAATCAAAAATCCAAAGTAATGAGCTCTAACCAAAATTCTAAGGTTAAACTCGAAAGTCAACCTGAAGTCGGTTATCTTATGTGTCCTATGTTTTCCATCTATCTTTTGTCTTATGTTGCATAAGTTTAAATTACTAAATAGATTACACCATGAGAGTTTACAGTCGGGTTCCTATAGTTCTTACCACTTCCAATCACTTTGTCCATAACACAATACTTTCCAAGATAGGGAGAAAATAAGCAAAGGTGACTTCCTGTAGGCATCGGAGGATTTTCAACATGCTCACCGTGCAAATTTCGTCTTCGCCCTCGCTGTTCACCTGGCAGTTGTGGCATTTAGGAATCAAGTCGGCGATTTTTCTTGCGTGTTCTCGTGCGTTCTCCACTGTCTCTTGTTGATTTGCCACATTGGTTCGTGGCCGATTCACAGACAAAACCTAAAAAGCGTGCAAGATGTTATTCTGTAAGACTGAATGCTTTCGTTGGGGGTTGGTTTAAGGTCAGCTTTAGGATATTTCAATCATACTTCAAGATGGTAGCAAGATGGAAGATTTCTAACACTCTGCACCAACTTTCTGTAAACCAAGTAGTCACCTCTCCAAAGTTTCTCCGTCTTCTCGTCGTTGCGCGCTTTCATGGGTTCCGCAGTTGCATTTGCAGAGTATCCTCTACTAACTACAACCATCTTGTAGAGAAAATCGACACTCGAAAAGAAATGGGCACTAGCAACTGGAAACTTCAGCCAATAGGAAACTTATGCATCAGCAAAATTCGGTGAGCTATTCATGAATACTTGGATACTTGGCTGATCCGTCCTCACTGGTTGTACGACCCCCAACACAATTTCCACTTTTTCGGAGACTTGCTGGTTTAGCCATTGTGGTTTCATGGAGTCGCAAGGTCATCCTAGCCAAAGTCTGGCCCAGGTCGCCACCACACAGGCAGTTGCCGCCCTTGTGGATCGGAGCGGGTTTTGTCACCATACGACTAGTTTGACACCAGGACGGTGGCGGATCCTGGTATTGGTTTACTCTTAGCGGGGCTAGGTGGAAACACCGGGCTCCATCTAAACTTGTGAGACCGCGCAGGAGGGATGAACTCCGCGCTCTACATCGTACTCCCACGTCCAGGAACACCTCCCAGCTACGATGAGGCGGTAAGCCGCTGGATTTATAAATGCCACTAGTATACAAAAACAGCAAGAGGATGTAGCTTATGTGAAATGTGGCATGCTCGTTCTTCTCCATGGTTGAGGGCAATCAACTGTGTAGTTTCACTATGTGACAGGAGGAAATGAACAGTTTAAAGGTGTTAGCTATATGAGCTGAATCACCGATAACATAGATAGTAACTCGAGGCACTTATTAAACAACGTTATTTGAGATTGTCAAAGAAAACTTAATTTAGAACTTAATTTGGTAAGAAGAAGCGAAAATGCTGCGTTTATGAAAACCATTTGTTTCGTTTAGACTGAAATAGAAGAAAGCGAAAAGCAAATCTTGTTATTAGCAGCCTCGTATGTGTTCAAAAAGAAAACACTGACTTATTGAACAATGCCGAGGTTAATAGAAATTTGGTCCTGAGAGTTCTCTACAATTTTGTTTTTCATTCACATATGAAAGTAGAAACGTTGTTGATGTATTTGCTCATCTAATCGCTTATTTGCATAGTTATCTCGCCAGAAGTTTCGGAACGATGCCAACTACGTTGTCATGAATGAGAAGAGAGGAAACAAATACGAAGACTAAAGGAACACGACTATTGCAAAATTCTAGGTATCACGTAGCTCGAATCAAATATGGAACCTTTACTAAAGAGCCAGCCGAGTTATTTCTTACTGCATTTTCCACAACAATCCACACAGAGTATGTGAGGAAATATATATGTAAGTATGGAAGATAGTAGTTATCACTTACATCATTTCGCCACTTCTGCACGTCTTCGCTACCTATGCCTTGTCGTTTAACGACTTTTGTTGAATTGCCTAACTGGACCATTCCCAATCCGGATGGCACGAGCATATCACCACGAATTCGCTGAAATTCTCGTAATAAGTTCGTCAAGGGCACATGACCATCACACAAAGGCTGTCATCATCGTTATGGATCGTAAAAGGTAACCCTCTCATTGCAGCGTCACCATATTGCATTGTGTTCGACGAAATACATACGCCAAAAAAATCAAACGTTAACGAATTTCCATTGAAGTATGTAAAACATAGATTTAAGCGGCTGCGCATCAGAATCTTCAAAAATATCAATGAATCGGTAAACGTAGTTGAAATGCCACCGAGTACTCCTAGGGGCCAGCTAGTTCGTAACCGTCTATATGACCGTCTATGTGCAACTCAAAATTGCATAGTTTGCCCCAGTGGTAGAGATGGTGATTGCATGAGCTCGGGTACAGTTTATCTGATCTCTTGTAAGGCTTGCGGAGACGAATACTTTGACGAAACGGGTAAGACCACTCTGTGTCCGCATAAAAAAACACCTAGTCCGCAAACGTAAGCCAAGTACTCCACTAGACACGCACAGAACCCAGAGACATAACGCGGAGGACTTTGAAGTACGCGTCACGATCCTCGCACAGAAATCGAGAACACAAGCGCGCAAAACTCTCGAGGCATTCTGGATTAATTCCAGAAATCCGAAAGTGAACCGTAGGGAAGAATGCCTCATTATCACTCGTGATATTGGGCAGTATATAAACCTGTTATTCTGATGGGAGGGGCACATTAGGCTTCCATGTGAATTCTGTGTGGTTGGTCTCCACGCGACATACTCAGCGGAAGACTCATAGAAAGTGGTGAGTATGCGACGGAGCCATTCTGTGTTCAACATGATTGAAATCGTTGTTTATCACTTTCTCTGTTCGGTTATGGAGGTGTTTGGTCGAGTAGATTGCTGTCAACTTGACCTTTCCAGACTCTGAGGAAGGCGAAATCCGCCGAAACGCCGGCTTATTCGTGAATAAAGAATAAAAATAACACCTCGCATTTGCTCAACAAGAATACGAAGAATTAATGAATGATCTCAATATTCAACAAACTCTCCAATATGGTTAAATATGGTGAGTCTCGCACGATTTTTCGTGAACAAAGGAATTCAAATGTTCAGACTAGTAAACATGTTATTCGCTGGAAATTCTCCAAACACCTACTTTGGACAGGAAGTACTTAAAACGCAAGTTATAAGGCACTTATGCGCAAAAAAATTAAAATGATTGTAAAGAAAAAGTCAAGTTTAAGGTGATATGCATGGCATCTATATCCACATGGAAATGCTTACACTTGGATACTAAAACTCTAGATATGCTTAAAGAAATTCCAGCCCCAAGGACGTGTTGCTGTATTGAAACAGCTATTATACTTTCGATGGTAAGGTGGCAATGAGCCCCATAAACCTTACATAACTCGATGTTTCCACGATATCGCTGGATAACCGTACAAATTTTCTTTTCGTGTGACCAGAGCATGCCAGAATCTTTTTATAATGACCACTAATGTAACAGACATATATTTGAGAAACTCAAAAGCTGTTCCAATTGTGAGGACAGAGCGGAATGTGGTGGATGGGAGTCGTAGCCACTCGCTGGGTTCTGGTGCACCCTTGACGAGTCCCGAGCTATTTGCTTTACCACTTGACCAGAGTCGGTCTCCAATTCCAAAACAGCGTCGGGCTTTTGATTCTGCAAATGCTGAGTGGCCAATCGAGCCAAAACACCAAAATTCAATCTTTCCGTAATGCCCGTTGAGTTGCAGGTGATCCAAACATAGGACCATTCAGCATTATTCACTACGTTTCAAAAATACTTAACCTCCCGAAGTCTCCTAAAAACAGACTCCAGCAGGAGACAATCGTTGTCAAGATATTTAGTAATCTAAATAATATCCATATGACAATGGAAATCCTAAAAACAGTTAATGAAAACAAATAACAGCAATGGTAACAATTATTTGCTGCGGAGAATGGGGAGCATAACGAGAAGGAACATTCGAAGTTGGAAACAGGGCGAACGGACAAAATGCTACTCATAGCGGGAGGTTACTGATCCCTTCTGGCAGACGAAGAACCTAAATGAATTTTACTTTTTCTGAATAGAAAATTCGAATTTGCTACGCCAAGATAACCTAAATTTTGAAATTTTAACAGAAATCGCTTCTGGGCGGCCCATCTTCTAAATGTAGAGGGCAACGTTTCAGGGCGTTAAGCGGCCATGTACAACAGGGAAATCCTATCATCCGTTTAAACATTCTCACCGTTCTAGAAAAAATATATTTGCAACTTTTTTCCATGAAGTTTAGTGACAGTCGCTTCCAACAATCCGAAAATGGGTTCTTCGGGATTTATGAAACAAGGCCTTGCTTAACCAGCAATATTTCATTAAAATGAGATACCTCGCATTAAGTAAGTACTCGAAATCGAATCCAAACACTTTCAAACATTGCCACAGCGATGCTTAATTTTCGACAACTATCGCGTACAGTGGAGCGTAGTGTTATGTGCACTATAAGCATTGAATTCAATGCATACAGAACGAGAATGGAACTTATAGGTTTTTTGGCTCCCATTAAGCTGTAACATCTGTGGAAGGGGTGCGATCGATTCAAGAAAAAAAGTGCCGCAGAGCAAATGTGCGCGGCGAAAAAAATCCTAAAGACAATACATTAAGCTCAATGCATATCGCCGTCAATCTTTTAAATAGAATCGTAGATTTTCAAACGCATAGAAGCATCGTGAATAGATTACATATAAAAAATAAGAGTAAAAAGAAAGGGAAATAAAAAAGAGAAGTGGAAAGAATTTACGACAGCCCAGCTTTCGGTGGCAAGAAGCGACGTAGGTTCGCTTCCTGCATTGTTAGAGGTCGTGAAGAAGAATTCGGCTTTCATTTGGGACACAAAAGCCGGGTCGAATGTGGTCTGGTAATCCCAGTGTCTTTTTGTTACCAACTTGGCAAGGATTGGAAAGAAAACAGCTGCTGTGTATATATTTAAGCATGTGGCGAATTCCAGATGATCTTACTCGCTGTTTGTCCAGATTGATCATATCGAGTTTGGAAGCGATTTCTTTCGCTACTACAGCACGTCCATCGCTGAGCTTCTGCGGAGGAGGCGGACGTCCGAAGGCGTCCAACTGCATCATAAATGCTGTCGAATTAAAATCCGTCATTCCGAAAATGACAAGCTCCTGAAAAAATGGGGTTTTAAAGACACAACAGAGGAAGAGAAATAGCATTTGTGCTTCGCGTGTAATACCATTATAAAAGAATGGAGCAAATGGTACAGCACGTGGAAAAGAACGTTTTTTATTTCTTATTTACCGACTACAACAAAAATTTTTGAGTTAAATCCATCCAAAGTCGTCTGAAAAGAGGAGTAGCTTTCATGCATCATCAAGTGAAAGAGAAATCGCACAGACGCATTACTATTGAGAAATTTCGATCAAAGTGCAAAGATAACGAAAACCAACGAAACACAGCAATATGCAGGAAGCAGTTTTCACAAAGTGTCATTAAGAAGTACGCACGGTAATTGATGGTAGTTCTTTTGGATGAACAACAGAAACTCATTATTGTGAAGTTGAAAAAACTGGGACAAATGGAATGAACTAGAACAGTGCCGTTACTGGGCGCTTGAATTTGCCTTAAGGTGACTCATCATCCCAGATTTTTCTTCCAATTCTCGGTATGTCTCGTTAACTGCTATTCCACTCGTTTGTGAATGGACCAGCGAATGTAAAGAAAGTTCACTTGTTCTGGGTCTCATTATCGTCCAGTTTTCACGGAACTCCTCGGAATAGCACAAATGATCGTTTATGCCTTCGTTTAGGATATTCTTTCAAAAAGTAGCACAAAAAAAGAAAGAAACTTGAATGTATGCGATAAAATCTGGTCTACTCGTCGCTCCAGAGAGAAACTAGGAAAAATAGGTATTGTTTGGAACTGGTCCCTTTGTCGAAATTCGACACTCAATGATCAAATAAATTTGCAAATAATATGAGCGTCGGAGACAAAATCATGGAGAATAGTATCCACAAGAACATTAAAAACCCTGGCAAGCGCCAATTCTTCAGCTTAGGATTACGTGACGTGGTGAGTTGGTTAGTGAAGGCGATGAGTGTTGGATGGAGTCGAACGTCCAATATTTCGCTCTGCTCGCATTCCAGCCATCACAGACGGCCTGAGATGGGGGTACTGTAAGCGAAAGGACATCAAAGGAATATTAGAGTAGGTGGAAGTATCAAGCATCTCATGGTATATAAACTTTAAAACATAGAAATTCATCACATCTCGTCGAATCTGTGATTATTACAAAATTTGTTGCATTACGACAAGCATGAAATATGAAGAAAACTTCTCAATCGAAGAAATAGGGAAAAACAATTCATTGAGAGAATGATGAGAAACGAGACGTGGCAATTTCCAATGATACAAAGACTAACATGAACGAGTGGTCGGGACGGGCATTTTGAGAAACTCGACTCACACGACTAATCTGGAAAGCGACGAAATGTTTTTGAAGACAGCGGTTACTGGTCGAAGTAGTTTTGCTAAGAAGGTCAGGAAAGTCCGAGTCTAAGCCAAGAGAACGTTCCAGAAACATTGAGGAGATCTTGTAGTCAGTCCTAATCTCGCCAGCAAGCACATTTTTATAGCTAAGAAGCTTAGTAGTAAATTTTCGTGCAATTCATGGATGAAGGTCTAATTCATCATTAGGACACACAGTCAAAACCAATCACAAGGAACTCACAGCACAACTCTTCTTCAGCAAAGAAAGGCTCCAGAATTTAAAAAAATCATGTAAAATTTTGGTGAAAATTTAGTTCTGCGACGCATTTTTGACGTAGAACGCAGAACTACGGACTATAAAATTATGAAAGGCGGAAGTGATCTTGACGAAAACGCGACTGAGCATCCAGGATATTCATCAAATTGAGCGGATCCACTAGCTCTGGAAAATTTGATTTTCCTTGTGAAAAAATTGAGGGCATCTGCCGCTGCTTTAACGTCCAACAAATCGATACCATTTCCGATAGACCAACTTCACCAGAAAACGGATTAAGAATGATCTTCTCAGTCTTAACCTCTTTAATTTGCTGCGTATTCTTTTTAACGGCAGGCTATGTTGCGAAATATAACTTCTATAATGCTGACACATTTGCAAAACTCCGGACTGCAGGTCCGATAAATAAAACTAGCTGAGAGACAGGCGAAACGAAGGAGCCGCATGGTGTGGTGGTGAACGCGTTACCCTCCGGAAAGGACAATAGCGCATTCGTTCACCACCGCAGACTCCTGCGGTCCGGAGTTTTGCAAATATCGCAGCATTATATAAGATATTCTCAGTGTTTATATTGTTGAGATTACACAACTTTGGCAGAGATGTTTATTCGGCTAACGTTTCGACGTCTTCGTCTTCATCAGAGCCGACGATCCTTGTCGATGGTCCTCGATACGGCGTCTTCGCCCTGCATCGAACACAATCTTCCTCACTTGAGCGTCTCGAATGAGGCATACTCAAACGGCCGCGTTGTTTTAAACAGGGTGGCTTGTTGATATGATTATCCGTGACACTGATGATATTCTCGGTGTTTCCAAGCTGATTTGTTGATTTTAGCACACAATATTAATCGATCACATTACGATGCGCCACCGCACTTGTTGCCTAGTAGTGAATTTGGGAAGCTTTGATCGCAGATGTGGTAGATTACTGGCTGGAGACAGTAACGATAAATCAGATGTGTGCTCACTAATACAAGTTGGAAAACCTGACTGAAGTGGCTGATGCGACAGTGGATAGTCTGAAAGGATATGATTATGTACTTCGGATATAGTAGGATGTGCTGAATGAATGAACGACAACTCGGTACAATAAGTCGAGACTTCTAGGACTTTGTAGGGGCTGGATGAAGAAGAGTTGAAAGAAGAAAAAGCCTAGCGATGAAAATAGTTAAGGTATATGAAAATGAATTAGAATCGATCAAGCTAATATACTGGAAGTTTTCATCTTGAATACCAACATAAAACAAGACAGTAGATATTTACAATACTGGGCGTAAATAGAAATGAAGTGTCTTGCTTTCCTTTAAATACCGTATCACTTAAGCTTTCGAAAAATTGTGTTTAATCGTCGACTAGGCACACAATAAGGCGCATTGTGAACTTATTCATTCAAAGAATGGTGGGCTATGAATCATCTTCACCAAAAGTGCATAAAAGCCAAATGTTCGGCTAACTTCTGCACTCGAAAATTCTCAAAGTTCACTCACCAGTGGAAACAACTTGAGGCATAGTGTCGGAGGTGAAATGAGCGGTGCCTTCCCAGCAGATCTTGTGTAATTTTTCAGTACAAAATTCCGAGTTTTATTTATGCTTCGTCCTAATGGGGTGCAATCATAATGCAATGAATCAATGAATCATAATGCAGGCACTTCTAGTGCTTCTTCATAATCACAGACAACAGCAAAACCCTACAAGTCGACGTATCCTCCTAGAGCTCTTCGAATAACTTCTGTTCACTTCTGAACCAGTGTGAATCATTATTGTTCAACGCACGATTCGCCGTTCTATTCGAAATAGACTTCAATGAAAATTCCACGAATTATCTAGATTCTAGATGCCGTTGTATTACTCTGAACAGCTACCGAAGTAAATCAGAGGTTTCGCTCACCATGGTTACGACTGCTCAACAACCACAATACTGCACGGATTGATTAGGCCCAGCTTTTCAAACAGGCTGAACGCCACAAAGTATCGATAAGAGGAGTGTCACATATTGTTGCCAGACTGCGCAAAACTGTCTGTCGTGAAAAACCCCAAGCAGATAAGTGGTGCCCGGAATTCACCGCCCTTCATGATATTCACATCGCTTTTTCAAGGTTTTTAGATATGTCCGACTGAAAACAGTGTAAATCCTCATGGAAATTCTGAATTATTGTATGCAGTTTCATCTTCCTTAACAAAGAATTTGAAAAGTTTAAAAAGACACCGAATAAAGGTCTCACATTCGAACCTTTACTAAACAGATCTCTTATAGATGTGATAGACTTAGAAGAGATTTCCTTCTAAATGACCACCACATGTGGAAAGACGAAATTCTGTAAAATGGAAAGAAATTGAATGTGATCCGTCGAATGAATAGAAGCCAAATCGACAGCAAAAGGATTTGGGCAATTTTCGGCTGAAGAAGTAACCTTGAAGTGGAGTGATTGCGTATTTATACGGGCGGATCGAAGCAAACGACTCGACACAGAAAGAGGCACGAGGAAACGCAAGAGTGGAGGAATGTTAGCAGAAAAGGCAGTGAGTGGAAACAGAATTTAAGGAATCAGAAATATCCTTCGGAAAGCAAATGTGGTATATGAACTGCTGCATATGCACACCCAACATTAGGTGATTCAACATTCTCGGTTCAAAAAGCCTTAAATACTATTAGCAGTCTTCTATAATGCTCAGGTATTTGCAAAACTCCGACCGCAGGTGTCTGCGGTGGGGAACGAATGCTTTATTGCCCTTTCCGGGGAGTAACGCGTTCACCACCACATCATGTTGGTCCTTCGTTTCGTCTGGCTCTCAGCTAGTTCTATCGATCTTTTGCCATCAGCAATCACCCGTCAACGTGATTGATCTGGGGAGCCCAAATCGGCATTGAACCCAGTTAAGCTGAGGCTATAGTTATAATCACGATCTTAACCTTTTTATTTACTACCTATTGTTCTTAACGGCAGGGTATGTTGCGAAATATAGCTTCTATAATGCTGAGATATTTACAAAACTCCGGGCCGCAGGTGTTTGCAGTGGGGAACGAACGCTCTATTGTCCTTTCCGGGGAGCAACGCGTTCACCACCACACCATACTGGTCGTTTGTTTCGCCTGTCTCTCAGTTAGTTCTATCTTAATAAAAAGGTTAAGACTATTAGCAGTGTTTCAACTTTCATTTACTGCCTATTCTTTTCATGGTAGGGTTCTATGCGAAATAGAACTATAAGAACGCTGAGATATGAGCAAAACTCGAAACCTCAACTGGGTTTGGAACCTGTGACTACCTTTACTATGGGCTCACGTGTATTCATCATGCCAACCGAGGCCTTTGCTTTACCTCTCTATCAAGCACATTTTTATTCATTCTCTATTGACGGGTGATTGCTGATGGCCGTGATAGAGTAAAACATAGCTGAGAGAAAGATAAAGCAAAGGACCCGGTTCTTGTGGTGGATAATACGTGAGCGCCAGGTTAGCGCGATCGTTGGTTCGAAGGCGAACTGACGCTCCCAATTTTGCTTACATCTCAACATCATTATGGTTGTATTTTACTATTAGAAGTATTCGTTTCCATCAGGTCGCTAAATGGACTACATTTCGCGGTAGTTAGAAAATACTAGCAAACTGTTGGTTTGAAGATTTATTCTTGTAACAGAATATTTTAAAAATAGGCGACAAGATCGCTACTTCGCAAAAACACCCAAGTACAGCTCATGCAGGGCTACAGTGTTAAAATAGTGATTACGATGAATATAATGATTCAGATTCTGAAAGCTCACAGAGTTCTGAAAAAACCTTTGCACGGATATCTCACTTTTTTCGCAACACTTTCGCCAGCGATTAAGAAACCAGAGTCGGCTAATACCACTTCAGCTCGATGCGTAATCGGATTGCGCACGATGCCGCTCGCCTATGCATGCGCAAGGCGAGGACCTTTGATAGGTGCCGGCCAGCTGGGAGAGTTCTCCACTCGGATCTGAGAGCCGTCCACAATCCACCGACACCAGTTCTCACAGACCAGGTCGCTGCAGGCCCATAAGACTTAGTTCGCCAGATTACACGAGTATCGACAGTGCCTAGAATGCTGTAAACACTGTAAGAAATGAAGAGATGGGAGTTGGTGCTTAAATCTTTTTCTGTAAAACCCGGCGTTGTCGCTAAGAACGATCAGTGACCTGGTCATTTAAATTAACGCATTCATATATGACGTCATTGCGGTGTCTAATATGATGCCCAAACCATACGACGGTTTTTCAAAAAGGAAGAAAACTTTTTCACGACCATGCGACGAATAAAACTGACTCCATAATTGAGACCCATGATGACACAAATGAGAGAAGATATTTGTGTTAAACAAAAAATTATCTTGTTGATTTCATCACAATCTTGCCACCCATTAACGTCAGCAATGAAAAAAGATCACAAAGTCTGATAAAGTATGGAATGCGGAATGAGTGAGTCACATAACTATCAGTGATAAAGAAAAGAAGAGGAAAGTACGAAACCATATCCTTCTTGTGTAGGGTTCTCTTATCCCTAACGTACGCCCGCGAGACTTAGTAGACGTGGTATTGCATGTTGTTAGTAGGCGTCGTTTGGTACAGCCAGACAAGGTTCGACAGATCGTTTCCTTCATTGTAACAGCATATAGTAGAGAAATCAATATGTGTAAAATGTAACGGTCATACTGACAGAAACCAAGACAAAACATCGAGAATGGAGAGCTAAGTGAAAAAGTGCCATACTCTTTCATTGTCATGGATACCACGGGGTTAGCGGATCTCTTTCTCGTTGCGCCATGGAGAAACTGAGTGAAATAGTATTTTCAAAGTTATCACCTTTAAACCAAATTTCAGATAAAACCTATGGAACCATCGATATTGTGGTCTATGTAGCGCTCGCCTTTATTATAGATGGTTATTTTCGTTTCTCGTCTCAAATTCATTACTCTGACAGACAGGTTTGTCCTCACTTCACCTGTTCCTTCGTAGTCACTGTAATTCACAGATTACCACCCATTTAGACGTGCTCCCTAAACCATAGTGTGATGACTTTCTCATTGACACAAGTATAACAGAATAATTCAGTGACGGTGGTTTTGCTGTAAGTAAACGAAGCATGAAAGACAAATCAGTTCCTTAGCACCGTAGTTCTCGTGAGAACGACTATCAGCAACCGCTGCCTTCCACACGAAAAATCGACATGAACCAATATTCGCTCAATTACACTGGCATTTGGTGTTTACAGAAATAGGTTTTCGACTAAGCGAAGACTCTGAGAAAATAACATTCACTCTTTCCTCTCATGTCCGACTTCCTGTTCGGCGCATTTTTAAAAAGATGACGAAGAGTTCCAATGAAGTGACATCAATTCCCGAACGCGAACATCTCATTTTGCGCTTTTGATGACTCATTACAAAACGATAGGATTCTGATCGTATCACTGCTCCATTGCTCTCTAATCGCTTGTGTGATGGCTTGTCCACATCAGTCTCAGACTGACCAAATAACGGCTGCTTCCTGGGACTTTCATGGTTCTTTCTGGAGCTTTTAAAGAAGTGTCTAGCATATTATGACGTAGAGATATTTGCAAAACTTAGACTCCAGGCCAGATTCGCTTTGTATTCTACAGATCGTTCCAGTTAACGGGTTACTGTTGATGGCACCACTAGGGTAAAAAGTGGCTGAGAGATAGGCAAAACAAGGACCTGCATAGGTAAGACGTGAGCCCCTGAAACATATAGTCGCCGGTTCGAATCTGGACTGGACTCTACGTCTCGCCAATATCTCAGCATTATAGTAGTTGTATTTCAAACAATACCCTGTCGTAAAAAAATGATAGGTGGTAAGTAAATAAAAAGTTAAACACTCTACCATATTTTTCACTAGTGTTTGTGATTACCGCGAGTCTCTTTTCTTACACTTTACTGTCTTAATCTCTTTATAAGAACGATGACGAATTTTGCGAGCCAAAATTTAAATTCGAGAAAAGAATATATTTAGGACTTATACAAATCTTAATGTAGGCCATTGACTTTTGAAATAGCAGTGTCGCCATCTAGTAAGCACTGTAACTCTCCTATAACGCCTCTCTAAATCTAAAATGTTTGACTTTATCTTGTGCTCAGCCAAAATCTCGTCTAAATAATTCTGTTAGATTCAACCACAAAGATGCTGAGATATTTGCAAAGTCCGGACTGTGGATATATGCGGTGGGGAACTAACGCGCTATTACCCTTTCCGGGGCCTAACGCGTTTACCACCACACCATGCGGATCCTCCGCTTCGTCTGTCTCTCAGCTCCTGTTAGAGTTTTTAGAAATTTGAACGATTCTCTTTTGACAGGCATACTTGTGCCGAGCACTGCAATCCAACCAATTACTTTTTTCACAAGTGTCCAGGAAACACTTGTACGAGTCCCACTAACTGCTTATGCATTTTCTAATGGTCGCTTCTACCTTTAGATGCTCTATGGGTGTTTCCAAGGCGATCTTTCGCAAATGATAAATGTGTCGGAATTAACTAACTGTCAACGTAGTTCTTATTAAGTCCGACAAATAATTTCGATTAAAGGCCTAGAGGGCTATTCTATACCGTTTATCGCAACGTTAACTGCGAGCTTTCTCAAAGTTATAAGGACGGCCGCTCTTAGCCTCTGTATTAAGCGAAAAAACCGCGAGTGTGCTGTGTGCGGCTTAGAGTGCTGAAAGAAAGTTAGGGATGGTTTTCTAACACATCATACAATGAAAATGAAGCAGTAGCACTGAACGGTTTCTGAAAAACTTCATAACTTTTCTGGGAGCTTTAGATTATTCAAATCTGTTAAGATACTAGTAATAAGAGAAGATCATTAGAGAACGTGTGCAGACACTTGGAGGAAAGGACAGTGTGACCTTTTTAAGAGACTGAGAACCAGATTTCAAGATAGTACAGGTGGCACAGAGACTGACGTAGCAACACTACATCACTGATGACGTCAGAACAATAGCAAAAACATCATCACATTCAAGAAAGAATCTCTGAGAATGAAGATGCTACAAACTTTGAAAGAAACCATTTGTCAATCTCAATCAGTATGTTCGACTCGAATATTGATTTTAGAAGTGTTTCGGTCCCACAAGGTTGTCTTTTGCCTAGCCGAGTACTGGCCGCAACAGTAACCATTGTCGTTTATGATGCATTAAACGATAAAATACTTGGATACTTGGACGGTCCGTCTTCAATGATTGTCCGGGCTCCAGCATATTCTCCATTTTTGGGACTTTTGCTACTCTAGCCATTGTGGTTCCCTAAAATACCGAGGCAAAGTCTGCTCCAGATCTTCACCACCACAGGCAGTCGCAGGTCTTGTGGATCAGAGGGAGATTTGCCACCATGCGACTTTGATACCAGGACGGTGGTGGATCCTGGGATTTGTTTACTCTTAGCTAGGCTTCCTGAAGGAAACGCCGACTCCTTCTCAGCTTGGGAGACTTTGCCGGAGGGACGAATTCCCCGTTATACATCACAGCCCGACACCCAGGAACGCTTCGCAGCCAAGATGAGGCGGTAAACCGTTGGGAAGAGACGATGGAGTGAAACATCTAAAGTGTTAGTTTACAAAAGTTTATTTTAATAAATAAAATGGCGGGTGTTTAAATGAAGCCGCTTATCATGCAAATCCAAATTTACGTGTTAAGTCTTATCTGCTGATGTTAGGAAAATGTTTTGCTGAGTAGATGGCATGTTTTTCAGCATTCCAGGCTCTGCAGAAGGAGGAACCGCAGAAACGTCAGCTACTGTGTGCTAATAAATATTTTGTAGTACCATCCTCGTGTTTACTCATTGAAGAAAAACAGTCGCGGTAGACAAATTGGTACCAGACTTGTCTGGAAAGATGGAAGAACTGACTTGATACATCGGCATGCAACCGTAGGCCACTATATAGAGTAAATATCCATTCAGTCGCCTCGACGATCCTAGGGGTGGAGTCGGATGCATGGATCTCGTAGACCAATTAATCAACGGGGTAACTTTACGTTTTAACGCTTTACGTGATGTTAGCAACAAAAAGATCAATAATTTCTGGAAACAATTAAGATGCAGTAAAAAGCATACAGAGCACTAGGCTGGGAAAAACTTGCAAAATGTAATGTGGCTACTCTGAGTTAACTGTGTTTCATTTATTAACATAAGTGAACGTACATATAACTTTGATGATTAAGATTTAATTAAGATTACGATAGCTATCAGTCAACATTTTCCAAAACTTTTGAATTCTTTGTGGGGAACTAAAACAATGTGCACTGGATCGCTGGCTGACGTAACTGCACAATATTGTTATTGAGTGTTAACCGATGAATGCACGCATCTAACCCGAACCGAAGCGTTCTTGCAGCGGTCGCGCCAAAATGACGTCCAGCGACAACAGACGCCACTTGAAGTGGTGAGAGTATAGCCAACGAATTCCGAACCATTGAAGGCAGGAGGAGCGCGATCAACAGTTGGTTCTTTCTCAAAAGTCGTCAGATCCACTATGATCAAAAATCGGAACGAACCATGAATAGTATCGCTCTTTGTAAGGTCGGACTTGAACTGCCAATAAATTGTTGCAAAATAAATTCCTTGAATAACAAACAAGCTTAGTGTAACCTACTAAATTACACAGATTTTACAAGTGCTTCGCATGAAACACTCTGAATAAAATCAGCTAGATCAGGAATACAGCAACTAGCTCAATGCTCATAAGAAACACGACGAACGAATGCGCATCAGTAAATAGTGATAGCTTCGATAAGACGACAATACTTGCGAACAGTTTGTAACCTCAGTCTATAAAGTTATAAACTTAAGATATAAACTTAATGTAACGATTGAGGGCACGTGTGGCACAGGCGCCTGCAACACACAAATGGGATCCATCCTTGCGCCCATGGCCCACCAAGCCTTCCATCCCTCCGGAGTCGGTAAATTGGTGCCAGAAATGTCTGGAAAGATAGCAGCACTGAATCGATTCATCGGTAGGCCACGACGAGTAAAGGTGTACCACCACCATTGTAAAGGCCAGATACGCATTCAATCACCCCGAAACGATGTTTAATGATATCGAATGCATGGCGCATCCCTCAGGGATTCATCAACACCGACAGCTCTATCCTACTATTTTATAGTGTAACGATTTTCCACCGCTACAAAAAAGTCAAAAAAAAAATTAAACACTATACTGTTGTTCATTTCTGAACCAGATTTGATTTCACTGGTTTGCTTTGAACTTCAAACGGCTGCTACTAGTGTTCGGAGAGGAAAGCTTCATCACCGTGAGCCTATAAACGATGACTGTAAGCGACTTTTATAACACTATTTATAACCACAACGTTGCTGAGATATTTGCAAAACTCTGGACCGCATGTGTCTATGGTGGGAAACGAACGCGCTATTGTCCTTTCCGGAGAGTAACGCGTTCACCACCACACCATGCTGGTCCTTCGTTTTTATTTATAACTTGAGGAGGTGTCACATTCATATCGCCGATCACGTTCGCGCTTAGGTGCATTTGTTCAGATGGTGCTTCGAGAAAAAAAAGTTGAAGGGAAGAACAACTAGAGAGAATTCCTACCTTTCTTTTCAGAAACAGTGTATGGTTGATGACGAATAAGATCGGCCGATGCCATCTTAATGAATTGAGTACCTCTAAGCGTCTACTTCCACAAAATTCACTGGGATAACTAATTCGAATATGAGCGGTTCTTTCTAAATTGGCTGACGAACATGTCAGCCCTAGGCTATGTCCCACCTATTGCTACCGCAATTGTCATATACTGACCGACTGTGTAAGAATAGGAGGATTTCTCAGCATTGGAGTGAGAAGCGTTGAAGGTTTAAACAGCAAAGATAGGTGGTTTATGGAAGAAGAAAGTATGCGGAATTGATCAATCCTAATAGGATTGCACGCTCATGTCCACGTACAACGTCGCTACGGATTGGAGTCCAACCACCAAACGTCTATACCCCAAATGCATTCGGTGAAAGTGAATAACAGTAGGTAGTGGTAACGACAACTACACTGCTAGTGGTGACAAGTGTTTTGGCGCTTCCCTGATATGTCAAATGGTCAATACGTGTATCCATCAACCAATCCAAACAGATAATACACCCAAGGCATAAGCTCCCTATAGAATGACTCAATGTTTGAATTCATCAATTAAAGTAAGTTTACTCAATCCAGTGCGAGTTAAACTAACGAAAATTCAGACCACCAATAACTTATGCTTTCCGATTGTTCGTCAAGTGATGTCACCTTTGCAACCAATATATAAGTTGAGCCTCACTCATGAAACTAAAACTCTCTGAACTGTAAAAATCTGGTTCTATAAAATTTGTTGTTTAGCTTCAAAACAATGACTGTACGTAAAAGATAACCATGTTGCTGTAAAGATAGAAGAATCATAAAGCTAGAAGAAATACATGATCCCAAGTAAAAAATCAACCATAGTAGCATGAGTGGACTACTTGGAAAAATCAGTGATGGTGGCATATAACTGAGCTTTTCGCTAGCTGTTAAAACGTAGTGAAAAAGAAGCTTGGAAGAAAGTAGTGTGAACGACCTTTTTTCACCGACTATGAACATTTCAAGACGTCGATCAGATCCACGAGAATTCGATCCGACAGGAGGAATTATGTTTAAGTGAAGCAACAGCTGCAGAATACTTCGACCGAATTAGAAATTCTACGGAGAAACTTCGACAAGTGGAAAGCACATGAATCGAATAAAAAGCAAATAGAACATTTTTACGATGTTTGTTAAGCTCTTTTTCTGCGAAGGAAAAACGATTCGTTTCTTCATCGTACTGTGACTGTGATATGCAACGAAAAAACGATTCTGTACGACAGCAGAAGCCGTGCTCTGTAAAGCTGGGCAAAGATAGAGTACCGAAACACTTACCTATGCCAAATTAGTATCAAATGGAGGCTACTGTCGTGCTTCAGTGCCAGCCAAATCGAATCGTTTACCTCTGTCCTTGAGGTCCTTGAGTCCTGGCTGAAACCCTGCAGCCAAGAAGTTCTGACAGAAACAATACAAAGTACACCAAGAACTGTGACATCTGTAACCTTCATTGGTTAGCCGCAAGGCATAATCACATTACCAACATTGCAAAAGTAGCAAGAATAGAAATATGAAGCTTCACCTTATCAAACTTGCTCACTGGACACCGATAAAATGGGTTTCATTGTTTATATGCAGTGCGATAACTACAAGGGTACTGAGATATGAGCAATATTCACAACTTCATGGACTTCGAACTGATGAGATCTCATCACCCATGTGCCTGTATTTCACATAATATCTTGCCATTAACAAAAAATAGGCACTAAATAAGAGTTTAAAATTCGGCAACTCTTTAGTGAGAAACATTTTAGCTAAGATAACCAAAGTTTTACTGAAAATCCTTTCAAAAGAATCGTGAACTTAAGAAATCCGCAATTTGTTTTGTAGCAGTTCGACTAATAAAATGTATTATAGACTGAGATATATAAAGGCTTAAAAGCGAAATAATTTCTTAAACAACCTAAAAGAAAGCTTTCCTATAAAGTCAAACAAAACGGCCAACATTCACTAGTACCGATGTAAGATTGCTATGTTATGGCTATCATAGCCCTCGAAGAGACAAAACTTTCGGGACCTATAAGACCACTCATTGTACCTTACATGTATAGGTCGGCTTCACTGAGGCATTCCATACTTCGACGACCATTAAGATATGAATAAACAATGGGTTTTCGAACATGCCAAGAACTCTTCACACGGTATTCTTCGAATTCCGATCTTTACACCCTTTTTATAGTAACAAATTATACGAAGTTCCAAATGACCTGCTTGAAGGAGACATGGGGAAGGAGCACTGTGAACAGTGTCACATAAGGTGAGAACACTTTTCACCTGTTGACGGAAAATATCGAAGTAATGAGGTACTTCAAAGAACAAGAAAAAGCAATGAGACACAACGGGGAATGTCCATCGCTATCTTCGCATCTTATCAAATCATACTCATACCTACAGCGTCAGTAGAACATGGACAATGACTTAAAGGAGTAAATCAGCAGTAGACGAGAAACAATGTCGCCAAGCCCATCGTCTCTGAATGGTATTGAAAAAGATATAGACCTCTTCGATTTGACACCTGGTCATCGTGATCCAGTGAACTATATTTAGATGGAGTGATAGTGTGATCTGTCACAAATGGGAGAAAAAAAGGCTGATTCGAAAACAAAGAATTGCTTAGGATTGTTCAAGAAACTCAGGATATGTTTCTCATCCAGTGGACGATGAGATCGTAAAAGAAGGCAACGAGTGAAAGATGGCTTTATGCTTTTAAGGCACTGGTGGTGATAGGACGCAAATCATCGAATAGCCTATCCAAATGAGTTGTTTTTTTAATTTTTGACCCAGGCTATACTAAGAAAACATAAGCTAATGTAATATGGACAAGAAAAGACGTCGCTTAAAGTGTTAAATAATGAAACAAACAAATGGAGAATGAAATGACGTCAACTGAGTGAATTTTCTGAATCCATGGAAGTAGGGAATAGAGAGATCAGTCAGTGGCCAGCATATGAATGATTCATAAAGTGCTCAAGAAGACTTCATTTCAATACGTTTCTGTTTATTTCGTTGCCTTTGAGTACTCTAATTAAATACGCAGGCAACAACTAATTGCTACCAGTCGCGACCGACAACGGTCTCCACTGACCAGTTTAACGCCTTTCAATTGGAAGCCGTATAGATCCAGAGTTGAGTGAAGCGTGTATGAATCCTGTTACGATTTCTGTTCAAAAGGAATAGAATGCCGCTGTGTAGAAATCTGAGGTAATTCTGAAATCCAGCATGGCCAAGACACCTCAAAAAAATCTATGATATCCTGAATGAGGACATCTATACTCATTTTACATTGCCGCACTTCTGAAGCTATTGAATGTTTTTAAAAGTATTGATACCACTAGAGACAACTACGATTATGCCATCACCAACATATTTTCGAACTTTAAAAGTAGAAGACACACGAAATGCATTGTATTAAGTTGAGAGCGTTTACGCAGCGAAGTGAAATGAGGCGCCACTAAAGCGCACACGGTCCTCTGTACGATTCCCATGTCTAGGCTAAACTATACGTTCTTTCCACTCAACCTCGATGGCTTGTCAGAAGACTTGTCTACGAAACATTCTTTCAACACCTCTTTAGGTACTGGAACAATCATTCATCAATTCTAATCAACTGTAAAAGTCTTATTATATCTACAGATAGCTGACTGGTTCAATCAACAGCTGCAATACCTAATTTCTATCTCTCTTGTGCTCGAGATAGCAATTCTAACTGGAGTGAACGCTTTTAAAATACAACAGTGACTTGCAGCGCCTACAAAAAACCATATTTTAGTAAGAAAAAAGCAGAAGGTTGTAAACGAAATTCACATCAAGCCAACCTGAGAAAACATTACTACGACATACGACATAACGGACGTATTATTGACCAAGCTAACGATAGCGCAACTGTCGGAAGCATCTTCTTGGTAATCAGTCAAAAGCATTTGTATCCACATTGGACGAACTCGTTCTTTGTGGAAAATCTGTTTTTATTCGCTCAAATCATCCAATCTGTTTAGGCAAAAAACTATGGTAGAGTTAAAACTTTTTATGAGCTATAGATGAGTATTTTCTATGTAGAATCTACCTCTACCAGGAACACTTTGAGATCAGAAGCATGAAAATGACGGAGAAATGTTAGAAGAGCTGAGACCAAATCAGAAGAGGTAACAGATTTGGTACAGGTCAGAGCTTTCGAAAATAGCAACAACAATAACCGTAATTTGAAAAAGCAACAGAATAAAGATTATTCCAAAATATTTCGAGTGCTTCTTCTTTCAACCGAAAGCAGACGGTTATTTAAACTTGGAGCTCAAACGGCATTCCCTAATTCTATAATGAGTCATAAACTTGTTGCAACAGCTTTAAACCATCTTTTTCTAAATGATTCGGCTTCAGAATGTGAAGCGTTCGATGGAATGTGAACTATGTGACCGTGTGCGCCTATGGAATGTCACAGGAATGAGGCGTTGTCACCTCTCGGGCACTGATTCAGCGCCGAAGTAGTAAAGATAGAAGTTGACGGCTTCGAGCGATACATGTGAATCGCTTACTCGGGTTCACAAGAGTTATCCATCACTGACAACAGTGAATGACTTGACTATGATGATGTTATTGCTAAGGTCCTGTAATAGTCTGATAGTAAGAACGATAAATGGCAGCCAAAATACCGAAAAGAACCAGGATTTTGAATGGAAACTGGGACGTGGAACATCGAAAAACGACCGTGACAGCTTCGTTAATTCGCCGGTAACGATCAAGTGGAGAACGATGCTTGTGTCTTCTCGAGCGTAGTGGGTGGTTTTAGAGGTCGTGTTATTGAACGCGAAACGAAAACGAAACGCGTTATTAGCCTTTTGGAGGGCTCACGCGTTCACCACCACACCATAAACGTTCTTCGTTTCGCGTTTCTCTCAGCTAATTTTCTATCTACCAGTGCCATAAGCAATCACCTGTTAACGGGATTGATCTGATGAGCCTAAATCGGCACTGAACCCAGTTAAACTGAAGCTGCAGTCGCTTTTATTTTTT